CCATTACAATGCTTGGCTAGCGGTTTTGGAGTTATATATGACAAGATCCGGTGGTTATGAATAAATATAAGAACTAGGTTTGCGGTCGGCTTCTGAAAGTTAAAGTCGTGTGTGTTTGTGTAGAAGCTTCAAAAAACTCATATAGAACTTCACCCCCACCCATAAAGCTTTGGGAACAATTACAAAGCTTGGCTAGCGGTTTTGAAGTCAAATATAACAGGATCCTTTGTTTATGATTGAGTATAAAAACAAGGCTTTCAGTCGGATTCTTATAGCTAAACTCCTGTGTGATTTAGTACAAGCTCTAAAAAACACTTATAGAACATCTCCTCCACCTACAAAGATTTGGGAACCATTACAATGCTTGGCTAGCTGTTTTGGAGTCATATATGACAAGATCCACTGTTTATGAATAAGTATAAGAACTAGGCTTGTGGTTGGTTTATGAAAGTTAAAGTCGTGTGTGTTTGTGTAGAAGCTCCAAAAAACTCTTATAGAACTTCTCCCCCAGCCATAAAGCTTTGGGAACCCTTACAAAGCTTGGCTAGCGGTTTTGGAGTCATATATGACAAAATCTATAGTTTATGAATAAGTTTAAGAACTAGGCTTGTGGTCGGCTTCTGAAAGTAAAAGTCGTGTGTGTTCGTGTAAAAGCTCCAAAAAACTCTTATAGAACTTCTCCCCCAGCCATAAACCTTTGGGAACCCTTACAAAGCTTGACTAGCGGTTTTAAAGTCAAATATAACAAGATCCCTTGTTTATGATTGAGTATTAGAAAAAGGCTTTGAGTCGGATTCTTATATCTAAACTCGTGTGTGATTTAGTACAAGCTTCAAAAAACACTTATAGAACATCTCCTCCACCTACAAAGATTTGGGAACCATTACAATGCTTGGCTAGCGGTTTTGGAGTCATATATGACAAGATCCAGTGTTTATGAATAAGTATAAGAACTAGGCTTGTGGTTGGTTTCTGAAAGTTAAATTCGTGCGTGTTTGTGTAGAAGCTCCAAAAAAGTCTTATAAAACTTCTCCCCCAGCCATAAAGCTTTGTGAACCCTTACAAAGCTTGGCTAGCAGTTTTGAAGTCAAATATAACAAGATCCCTTGTTTATGTTTGAGTATAATAACAAGTCTTTCAGTCGGATTCTTATAGCGAATCTCATGTGTGATTTAGTACAAGCTAAAAAAAAAACACTTATAGAACTTCTCCTCCACCCACAAAGATTTGGGAACCATTACAATGCTTGGCTAGCGGTTTTGGAGTTATATATGACAAGATCCGGTGTTTATGAATAAATATAAGAACTAAGTTTGCGGTCGGCTTCTGAAAGTTAAAGTCGTGTGTGTTTGTGTAGAAGCTTCAAAAAACTCATATAGAACTTCAGCCCCACCCATAAAGCTTTGGGAACAATTACAAAGCTTGGCTAGCGGTTTTGAAGTCAAATATAACAGGATCCTTTGTTTATGATTGAGTATAAAAACAAGGCTTTCAGTCGGATTCTTATAGCTAAACTCCTGTGTGATTTAGTACAAGCTCTAAAAAACACTTATAGAACATCTCCTCCACCTACAAAGATTTGGGAACCATTACAATGCTTGGCTAGCTGTTTTGGAGTCATATATGACAAGATCCACTGTTTATGAATAAGTATAAGAACTAGGCTTGTGGTTGGTTTATGAAAGTTAAAGTCGTGTGTGTTTGTGTAGAAGCTCCAAAAAACTCTTATAGAACTTCTCCCCCAGCCATAAAGCTTTGGGAACCCTTACAAAGCTTGGCTAGCGGTTTTGGAGTCATATATGACAAAATCTATAGTTTATGAATAAGTTTAAGAACTAGGCTTGTGGTCGGCTTCTGAAAGTAAAAGTCGTGTGTGTTCGTGTAAAAGCTCCAAAAAACTCTTATAGAACTTCTCCCCCAGCCATAAAGCTTTGGGAACCCTTACAAAGCTTGGCTAGCGGTTTTGGAATCATATATGACAAAATCTAGAGTTTATGAATAAGTTTAAGAACTAGGCTTGTGGTCGGCTTCTGAAAGTAAAAGTCGTGTGTGTTCGTGTAAAAGCTCCAAAAAACTCTTATAGAACTTCTCCCCCAGCCATAAAGCTTTGGGAACCCTTACAAAGCTTGACTAGCGGTTTTAAAGTCAAATATAACAAGATCCCTTGTTTATGATTGAGTATTAGAAAAAGGCTTTGAGTCGGATTCTTATATCTAAACTCGTGTGTGATTTAGTACAAGCTCCAAAAAACACTTATAGAACATCTCCTCCACCTACAAAGATTTGGGAACCATTACAATGCTTGGCTAGCGGTTTTGGAGTCATATATGACAAGATCCAGTGTTTATGAATAAGTATAAGAACTAGGCTTGTGGTTGGTTTCTGAAAGTTAAATTCGTGTGTGTTTGTGTAGAAGCTCCAAAAAAGTCTTATAAAACTTCTCCCCCAGCCATAAAGCTTTGTGAACCCTTACAAAGCTTGGCTAGCAGTTTTGAAGTCAAATATAACAAGATCCCTTGTTTATGATTGAGTATAATAACAAGTCTTTCAGTCGGATTCTTATAGCGAATCTCAAGTGTGATTTAGTACAAGCTCCAAAAAAAACACTTATAGAACTTCTCCTCCACCCAAAAAGATTTGGGAACCATTACAATGCTTGGCTAGCGGTTTTGGAGTTATATATGACAAGATCCAGTGTTTATGTATTAATATAAGAACTAGGTTTGCGGTCGGCTTCTGAAAGTTAAAGTCGTGTGTGTTTGTGTAGAAGCTTCAAAAAACTCATATAGAACTTCACCCCCACCCATAAAGCTTTGGGAACAATTACAAAGCTTGGCTAGCGGTTTTGAAGTCAAATATAACAGGATCCTTTGTTTATGATTGAGTATAAAAACAAGGCTTTCAGTCGGATTCTTATAGCTAAACTCCTGTGTGATTTAGTACAAGCTCTAAAAAACACTTATAGAACATCTCCTCCACCTACAAAGATTTGGGAACCATTACAATGCTTGGCTAGCGGTTTTGGAGTCATATATGACAAGATCGACTGTTTATGAATAAGTATAAGAACTAGGCTTGTGGTTGGTTTCTGAAAGTTAAAGTCGTGTGTGTTTGTGTAGAAGCTCCAAAAAACTCTTATAGAACTTCTCCCCCAGCCATAAAGCTTTGGGAACCCTTACAAAGCTTGGCTAGCGGTTTTGGAGTCATATATGACAAAATCTAGAGTTTATGAATAAGTTTAAGAACTAGGCTTGTGGTCGGCTTCTGAAAGTAAAAGTCGTGTGTGTTCGTGTACACTACAGGAATATCGGGTTTTAATAGCACTATACAATAGCGTTTGTAGTCATTCTGCTATTGTTAGAGGACCTCTGAACTTTCAATAGCGTTTCTACCTTGTTGAAACGCTATGGATAGTGTTTCACTATTTTTACATGACACGGAAGTATATTTAATAGCATTACCATATTAAAACGCTATTGAAAGGGTTGGGCGCTAAAAATTTCCCATTCCCGCTACTACACTTAGAAATATTTTTGGGCATTTCTTTTCTTTTTCCCCTTAGCTCATCTTTGTCGACTTTACTCTTCAATTTTTAGGGTTTCCTCTTTCTCTCCTCTTTGCTATCTCCGAAAAACACAAAACAGAAATTTCCGAAAAATTTCAACCTCTTTGCTCTCTCCGCATCTTCCTTAGGTTCTCTCATCTTCCTTGTATGCTCGATCTGTTTGGGAATCCCACTAAATCGAAGGTAAATCCCACTTAATCACAAATTTGTTCTTGATTTGTAGAGAGAGAGCTGCGAGATGACGATTTGGGTTTGGGTTTGGTCAATTTAGGGATTTGAGGATTTAGAATTTGGGGATTTAGGGATTTGAGGATTTAGGTAGAATCGCTTACACATTTGAGACTGTATCTACATGTTCTTTGAACTGCTTTGAGCTGCTTTGTGTATCTTTCACATCTTCCTTGTTAACTGAGTTATGTTTGAACGAGTCCTAACAATTTGAAACTAGATCTGGTCTGACATTTACTTCAATGTGCAAGTCGTAGTCGAACCAGTATCCAAACACATCACTTGTCCAGATTGAAGGAGTCAACACCCAAGAGAAGGTAAACAGAGCCAAATCAAAGACTAATAATGAAATCGATTTCTTTTAATTTTTGTTTGGATTTGTAGATTTATTGATTTGAGTTTAATTGATTTCTATTTTTGCTTTTTCTGTTGTAGTTCGAGTTAATCAGAAGAGAACAAACTCTATCAGGTATATGATTCTTCTATCAGATTACTTGTATTGTTGTTTTGGCTTTGAAAGTGACTGCCTCTGAAAATTACTTGTATGCACATTTGGTCGGAGCTCTTGTGAAATGGATAAAGCTTGGGTTTGGTTGCCAAGGTATTAACTTGTTCTTACATATATGCATTGATTTTATTTTATGATTGACTGTTCTCAGTTTGTAATGGGTACTATTTGTTAACGTGTAGGAATAGCCTTGAGTATGAAGCAGGAGCAACTAAGTTTGTGGTTGAATCAGCAAGTAAGTTGAATTTAATGCTATAGGTGCGCATGTTGGTAAAGGATCAGCGGCACTCTCCTCCTTCCTTGGAATACTTGTGAGGGAGCATGTCCCAGTACTGCTAGATGACTGGAGACATCTTGATGCAAATACAAAAGACAGAATGTGGGAGGAAGTTCAGGTTAAGTTTTTTAGCCTTTTGACTGAATATGAGTAATTTGTTTGTATTTCAAATTGTGTTTTAATGATTTTACTTGGCAATGTTTGACAGGGGAGATTCAATTTGAATGAAGTTTGGCATAAAGAAGCAATATTAGGTCAGATGAATCATATATGGCGATCCTCTAAATCAAAGCTGGTTACAAAAGTTCGAGCAACAAAAAGCAAGGTTGAAATCCAGCAAATTAGGCCCAGCAACATCCCTTCTACATCTGACTGGAACGCTTGGGTGAAGAAAAAAACTAGCACAGCTTTTAAGGTATTTATTTCATGTGTTTTGATTATTTGATATGGTGTTTGTGAGATTATTCATATATGTCTATTTGTGTCAATAGGAAAAAAGTGAGACAATGAGCAAACTTAGAAAATCTCAAATTCCTCAAACCACCAGCCGCAAAGGATTTCATAGGCTAGCTAATGAGATGGTATGTACTAGTATATGTATTGAATTGGTTAGTTGTTATATTAATTCAAATATGTGTATAACCCTTTATATGAACTTGTAGAAACAAAAGGCTCCTGATCCTAGTAAAGTTACTAGAAGTAAAGTTTGGATAGCAGGTCACACGCATGCTGATGGAAGACCCGTGAGGCCAGAATTCGAAGAAACTATTGTAAGAATGATTTAAATTTTGATTTATTGTTCTTCAGATTGTTTTTAAAGGTAGATTCTCCATATTAAGTATAAATCTTTATTTCAGGAAAAGAGTTATACATTGTGTATAACTCTTTCAATGACTCATTAGGCTTCAGATGGATCAATAGGAAGAGTTCACAGAGTTCACATTTATGATTATTGGAATGTGGATAATGATGTTATTGCTGAGGGTATATTGTTGTCAACTGACCCTAAAGAAATGGTCAACAATGCTCCTCTGGGACCAAATGATGCAGTTATTAATGTCGATAAGGTGGTTAAACCTGGTGCTTATTTATGGAGACCTACTATGAAAGGTTCATCATTGATGGGTGATGCACTAAATGAGATCATCACATGGCCTGCTGATAGGATACAAATACCTCTGTCTACACTTGATGAATCAACGAAAAAATCATCACCTCTGCAGGTCAGTAACACCAACTCTATATTTGTTTGTTTTGATTTGGCTGCTACTAGTAGTTAAGTTGGACAATAGTTTAAGTAGTCAGATTTTTAGATGAGATTGGGAATTATATTTGTTGCATGTTGATGTTGATGTTGATGTGATGGTATTCTGATGAATGTTTTTATAATTTGGACTACTAGAGTGGCACTAACAGTACTGGTACAAGCAAAGGCTCCAAAAAGAATTGCTTTCTATTAGATTGTGATAATTCTGGGGAGCAAGTTGCAATAGGTCGTGTCTGTTCCACTGATCCAGAAGACAAGGTCCATCTCTGTCCTTTAGGTCCCAATGCTAGCAAGATCTGGGTAGAGGTTTCCAAGATTGATGGTGCACGAGTGTAGAGACCAAATTGTGAAATTCAAGTAATATCTGATGCAGTAGGAAACTGGGTGGCTTGGCCTAACAAGCATATTGTATTCATGTGAGCATAAGTTTGTGTCAAAAAACATTGTTCTATCTCATGGTGTAGTACTACTCTTTGTATGATCTTTAAAAATGACAGGTTTAAATCCAGTTTTAATTTTAAGTTTGATTTAAAGTTTTATTTGTCAAAGCAATAATTATAATATTATATATAATATTAAAATATTATGTAGTACTAATATTATATATAATTACAATATTATATATAATATTTAAAAACAACAAATATCAATTTTTCTAAATGTTTAACTTTTTAATAACACACAAAAAACGCTATTATATAATTTATAATAGCAGAAAATAAAACGCTATATTATATAACCATATTATAGCATTACAGAAAAACGCTATCTAAAGTCACTTACCTATTATAGCGGGCGTATATACAGCGCTTTCAAAAACGCTATTATATCTTTAAACAGCGTTTTTCAGACGCTATTAATACCCGATATTCCTGTAGTGGTAAAAGCTCCAAAAAACTCTTACAGAACTTCTCCCCCAGCCATAAAGCTTTGGGAACCCTTACAAAGCTTGGCTAGCGATTTTGGAATCATATATGACAAAATCTAGAGTTTATGAATAAGTTTAAGAACTAGGCTTGTGGTCGGCTTCTGAAAGTAAAAGTTGTGTGTGTTCGTGTAAAAGCTCCAAAAAACTCTTATAGAACTTCTCCCCCAGCCATAAAGCTTTGGGAACCCTTACAAAGCTTGAATAGCGGTTTTAAAGTCAAATATAACAAGATCCCTTGTTTATGATTGAGTATTAGAAAAAGGCTTTGAGTCGGATTCTTATATCTAAACTCGTGTGTGATTTAGTACAAGCTCCAAAAAACACTTATAGAACATCTCCTCCACCTACAAAGATTTGGGAACCATTACAATGCTTGGCTAGCGGTTTTGGAGTCATATATGACAAGATCCAGTGTTTATGAATAAGTATAGGAACAAGGCTTGTGGTTGGTTTCTGAAAGTTAAATTCGTGTGTGTTTGTGTAGAAGCTCCAAAAAAGTCTTATAAAACTTCTCCCCCAGCCATAAAGCTTTGTGAACCCTTACAAAGCTTGGCTAGCAGTTTTGAAGTCAAATATAACAAGATCCCTTGTTTATGATTGAGTATAATAACAAGTCTTTCAGTCGGATTCTTATAGCGAATCTCGTGTGTGATTTAGTACAAGCTCCAAAAAAAACACTTATAGAACTTCTCCTCCACCCACAAAGATTTGGGAACCATTACAATGCTTGGCTAGCGGTTTTGGAGGTATATATGACAAGATCCGGTGTTTATGAATAAATATAAGAACTAGGTTTGCGGTCGGTTTCTGAAAGTTAAAGTCGTGTGTGTTTGTGTAGAAGCTTCAAAAAACTCATATAGAACTTCACCCCCACCCATAAAGCTTTGGGAACAATTACAAAGCTTGGCTAGCGGTTTTGAAGTCAAATATAACAGGATCCTTTGTTTATGATTGAGTATAAAAACAAGGCTTTCAGTCGGATTCTTATAGCTAAACTCCTGTGTGATTTAGTACAAGCTCTAAAAAACACTTATAGAACATATCCTCCACCTACAAAGATTTGGGAACCATTACAATGCTTGGCTAGCGGTTTTGGAGTCATATATGACAAGATCCACTCTTTATGAATAAGTATAAGAACTAGGCTTGTGGTTGGTTTCTGAAAGTTAAAGCCGTGTGTGTTTGTGTAGAAGCTCCAAAAAACTCTTATAGAACTTCTCCCCCAGCCATAAAGCTTTGGGAACCCTTACAAAGCTTGGCTAGCGGTTTTGGAATCATATATGACAAAATCTAGAGTTTATGAATAAGTTTAAGAACTAGGCTTGTGGTCGGCTTCTGAAAGTAAAAGTCATGTGTGTTCGTGTAAAAGCTCCAAAAAACTCTTATAGAACTTCTCCCCCAGCCAAAAAG